GGGGGGGGACGGGCTGATGTATTTCGGCCCGTTAGCCCCTCGCGTGCGGCGTACGACCCGACGCACAATGCGGGCCCGACCATTCGGAGTGGACAAGCGGAGAGCGTGGCCACTGACCCTTAGTGGCCGGGACACCACTACACCAATGCTGCGGCGGTAACACTTTTCCGTCGTATGCGGAGGTGCGTCAGCTCTCATCTTGAGAATCAAAACGTCCGATAAGGCCGTATAGGCTAGGTGCGGACGTTAAAGATCCTCTTGTCTTGTTGACGATGAGTAATCGGGAAAGCAATGTACCTCAGGTTGTCAACTATTGAATAGAAAACATACAATACAAACATACGTCACCACAAACATAAAAGTCTGGTCTCATTCATTCCCAAGAATATTTAGCGTTCCTCGGGCCGGGGTAAACCACCCTTTCCTTTCACGATAATAAATTACATTCATTTCAATGCATTAACATAAACCCGCCATAAACATAGAAGCTGGACACCTTCACTCCCCCAGAGTACTTGAACTCTTTTCTCGTTAAATGTATGGTGTAGTTAATAGAGTATATGCTCATAGGACATTTACATACATTTATAATAAGAATTTATATATTGAACGGTTCATCGCATTTTGAGAGAAATCCTACCTACAAGTGAATCTATGTACTATATGTTTGATTTGACCTCAGGAATTGTTCTACGGAATTACATAAGCTCAATTGAAAATTTATGAGCAATGACGAATTGAAAAAAATTTGAAAAATTAAATTAATGGAATTACACCTTAAAAGACAAACCCTCGCAAAAGATACACCAAACAGTTTGCAAGCTGTAATAAATGCAAAAGGAGAGGTTTTTCTAACATTTTTAAAATTTGTAAATTTTTATTTTTTGGTAGTTCTGTAAGTGTATGAACAATTTTTTCCTTTCCAAATTGTTAGTTACAACTAATTATTTTTTTAACAAATATTTTCATATTGAATCTTGTAATGTATTGCTTAAAAAAATTAGTTGTAATAAATTAAATAAAACCTGTCGGCTAAATTGTGAGCCATGGAGTAAATGGAAAAAAGAAAGAATCATTACGACTCGCCCGAGAATAGGCCACACGGGTGACACGTGTACATCTCTTCGCCAAAGAAAGACAACAAGAATACCCTTTATTGCTCTTTATGCGGTGCACAAATATCTGTAAAACACATAATAACAGATTAATTAGCGCCGAAAAGAATAATGTGTGGCCTTTAGTAGACTTTTAGAAATCAAAATAATACAAATATATACTTCCTTTGCATTGTTTGCTTACGACAGAAAAAATTCACTTTATAATACGGCCACCGGTATTATAAAGTGAATTATATATATATATATATATATATATATTACAAAAGTGGCTGTGTTATAAAGTGAATTTTTTCCGTCGTAAGCAAACAATGCATAGGAAGTATATATTTGTATTATTTTAATTTCTAAAAAGTCTACTAAATTCCACACATTATTATATATATTGTAATATATATATAATAAAACGATTATTTATTCCATGTTTTGATTATTTCATCACCGATAAAATGTGAGATATTACTATTATATTATTATTACCGTATTTAATTATGGAACTTCTCTTACCGGAGTCCCGCTAGTACATCCTAGATCCTCTCTCTTATATACAATATACCCTGCGAAAATTTTCTAAATCCTAACACATTTCTTGCTATATTCGCAGACGACACACTTATGCGTTCTTCTCATCAAAACCCAAACTTCAACATAGTTCATCAATGAACCAAAAATGGAGAAAAAAAATCAAAATAAATGCATCCGCACAACCTTTATTCTCCGTTTTGCGACAATTCCTACACTGCTCTAACAACGTACCGCACATAGTAAAGTATGTTTCGATAAAAGACCGACATTGAACACCCACACTAGACTGTAAAGACTGAAATTTAACAAACGATATGCGTATACAAGACGAATATCAAACCTTCTCTGATGAACAAACTGTTAATTTATATAATCGCATTCCGACCTACGCTCCAATTCGCCACATCCAAAAGAATTCAGTCACTGCAGTCAAAAATCCTCCGTAAGATCTCCAGTACTACGAATTGAGCTTTACTCTATACACCGACCTCCAAATTCCTTTTGTCATTTTGCACGTTACATAAAATTTCACATCTCCATAACAATTCACATTAACCTATCTGTGTAATATGGTATCTTCAAAACCCCCCGTTGGAGAGGACAATGACAATTGGCAACTTATCGTTTCCAGCCTTCACGGCATATGGATTTTTAATGTTATATATGTATATGCACCTAAACGTGTATAGATGTATGATTTTCGTCATTATTAACTGTCTTAAATAACAAAATATATATCATTGGTTGTACAAATTTCGCGCAAATAAAAAATAAATAAATATAATGTAATAAAACCTCTCATATTATGGGAATATCAGCAAATACTTCTGCTTTCCGTTTTTTAATTTTTTTCAAATATAAATAATATATGTACGTTTTATTGAACAGAAGATGTGTTCATTCAGGGGCCTTACTTGAATCGGTTTCACGAAATTTGATATTCTGTAGAGTCGTAGTCGTCGTTTACAAAATCCACGATTTCCCATGGGTTTACAAAAGGTCGAACTGACCCCCAAGGAGCCAACGAGCTTTCTCTTCTCTAAGTTTTCCACGGTGAACTTTCTTTTTCCTTTTAGTTATCATGAATATTCAAAAGGTATCAGCGGGGAAGATTGGGAGGGCACTTCTTGGTAAACTTTTAATAATTACGTGTTCTCGTATTGTTCCTTATTGCTACAATCATGTTAAATTTTAAATAAATTTAATGGCACAGTTAAAACATTTAATCGAAATATTGTACGGGAATCATCTTCCCTTATGTGCTTTTGATCGTAGAAAAACTTGAACTAGAAATAAATTTTGCTGTTATTCTGGCAACAGGTCAGTTATCCTAATATAAATAACCACTCCACCTACCAATTAATACCAAATTACTTTGTAAGATTAGAAACTAATAAAGCCTGTGTAAAATCTAAAATTTTTAAGATATAGCAGAATTGATGGTTAAGCACTTTTATTACTTCCGACGATCAGAACAAAATTCTGCGCTAATAAGTGAAAGCTGAACGAACACTCGGGATCAAGGTATTGTCTTGAAGTAGACAGCAAATTTAGTTGCTACTGCGAAGCTTTCGAACTATTTTAAGGTCATCATCAATATTAATTTCACATTATGAAAAACAGACTTGTACAATTGATTTAACAATCAATATAGAACTTACAAAATAACCTACAGATTGACATATTTAAGTTTTTTTACAGGCGATCTAAAGACCAATTCAGTCCCAGCATTGCCAAGGACTGTAGCAGTATTGCAACCTTATCCCTGAGATTCTCCCATCGTTATCCAAGTCCTTTTTAAAATTAATAAGAACTTCACAAATTGAACTTAAGCCCTTAGTATCTGTTGAATGTTACAATTATTATTTTCCATTTTAGTATGTAGAACCTCTTTTATTCTTCTTCTGAGTAATTGAGATTCTTTGTCAATAATTTCAACATTCGAAAATTCAAATTTATGCCTACTTCATATTGTATGTTGTGATAGTCCGGTACCAGTTCTGGATTTATTCCCACAATCAAAAATAGACCAAAAATTCTATTTTTTATTATCTGTTTTGTTCGACCTGTGTATTTGATTGGACATTCACTACATGAGAACCTACATCCAACATTCGATAAATTCTTCCTTACCCTTGAATATATTACGTAAAAACTTATTTTATTCTTGTATTTATAACAACAATTGATGTCGGGTATGTATTTCTTTATGGAATATTTTAATTTGGGCGAAATCACTGGGACGTGACATTATACTCTTGAAGGTGAAAGGATTGTTCACATTTCTATCGGGGTTTTCTCCATTTGTTAACTTTCTTGAATTAATAATATCTTTCAATCCATTAACCAATTTCTTTGGGTAATTGTTATTTCTTAAAATTCCGAAAGCTCGGTCTTTAACTGACTCAATTCCCATGTGCTGCGTAGGGACAAAACTATATGAAAGAAATTATTGCCGCAACTCAGAGTTTGACTAAAAGAGTGAGAAGAGAAATAAATTAAATATCTATCAGAGCTGATGTCTTTTGTATACCATCTATGGATCAATGTGCCCTCTGTACTTCTGATCACTTCCACGTCTAGATAGAGGATAGACCCACTATTTTCAAATATGTTAATTGTATGTTCTCATGATATCTATTAACAAGGATAAGGAGATTGTCTAAATTATCCCTTGGAAAAATCAGAAACAGTCATCAACATCTTGCATATGAACTGAATATTATAAGTGACGTGATCTAAACTCCAAGTAATCAAATCATTCACCCCCCCCCTTGAAAAGACTTTAAAATCTGTTTTTCTTATATACATTTATATATATATATATATATATATATATATATATATATATATGTGTGTGTGTGTGTGTGTGTGTGTGTGTGTGTGTGTGTGTGTGTGTGGCACGGCCTCCTCATCAAATCTCGACCGTGCATCTCTACCTGGGCCATCCTAGGAATGGTAATCACCTTGGCTAACACCTGGGATGGAAAGGCCAGACCGCTAAAGCAGAAAAAAACTGAAAATGTCTTCCTGGTAGAGTCTCAATATATTATGTATTAGTTTACATTGTGCAAATAGTCAAAATAGCTGACAGCTCTCCCCGTGTGACAGGTTGCCTTTTATCAAAAAATGTTATGTGCACATAGATAAGTGCTTCCAAAATCTATGTGGCAATCATCAAACTTCAACAAGACTGTACCTATTGCGTTCACATAGTGCAAGCTGCGAGGTGTCAGTTCAAAAAGTAATGGGGAAGTGCAAGTAAATCGAACAATTTTCTTTAACTGGCAATGCTAGAGACTGGCAAGAACGGAACATGTAAATTGTTAAGATTTGGTAATATGTAAATTATTCATTCAGTTTTAAAATGTAGCCGAATGGTTTATTAACAAAATAATATACATTTACAGTATAATCTTTATTGCCAGGTGGAATTTTTTCGCTTTTTGATCATGTGATGTCAGTAATTTTCAAATTCGCTCCTATTCCACTTGTTTTTTTGTTTTTGTCATTGTACACACTTTAACACTTTTAATAGTCTAAAACCAAAATGAGCGAAGCGATTTCCAATACTGTCTCGGATGGGAGCTCGGTAGTTCGCGGAACACACTCGATTTGTTTGCGAAGTGGTGTTTGATGACGTTGTAGCCCCACGTTTTGGACCTCATCACCTCGCGTATCGGCGTGGCGTCGTATCGGTTTCTCGCGTAGAACATTTGCGCCGGATTGCAGAGGTAAAACTCCCTGAGGCTGTATGTCTTCTCGTGGTAAGGCAGGTCCATCGTCCTCTCCATCCATCCTTCGGCCTGATCGAAAAACGTTTCCATGTTCTTTTGGTGTACCATGGTGAACGAGTTGATCGGGTTGAACTTGCCGAAGTATTTCAAGTACTGCATGAACGCTTGGGAGCCGTTGTTCGTCTTGGGCGGGCCGAGGATAGCGATCATTTTATTAAATATGTCCTCGCCGTCGCATATGTTGAACGGATACGTCCTGTGGTTCATCCGCTCTATGTAATCTCTGACCGACTGGTTCGTGTTCCGGAAGTAAATGTACTCTTCCAAGTCTGCGAGCAAGTCCTCGGTGCTTTTCAGATCGAGGGTTTGACAGTAAATAAACTCGGTGTTGACGTATGTCAGCGGGGCGTCGACAATGAATATGAATTCTGGGAAGGTGACTTGCGATGTTTGGTCTACGGTTTTGTCGTCTTCTTCTTCTTCTTCCTCTTCGTGCCCTTTATTACTTATCTTTTGTTCGAACAGGACGAAAGCGTCTTTGGACCTGACGGGAAAATCGACGAGTATGTAGCCGTGGTTCTTGACGTAAGTCGACGTCAGCAATGTCCGCAAGCTTTTGGCGAGCCATTGATTATTCACGTTGTTCGCTTTACTTTCGAATATCTTCTTCAGAGCTATGATTTCGGGGTCGATGGGCTGCTCTTTCTGCTCCTCTTCTTCACCCATTTCCTCCTCTTCTTCTTTCGCCTCTTCTTCCTCCTTCGGCTCTTTAGTGTTTAACATCTCTTGATAAGCCAGAAACCTTTCCGCGATGTTGTCTTTGTGGTATACTGGCAATTCGTAAAATCGACTCAAGAGAAGAGCTATTTCGAACTTGACTTTCGAGGGAGGCCCGACGAGAAGGATCGTGACTTCGGCCAAATTGCGGAGATATTTCAGCTCGTGTATTATTTCGTCGACGTTGTTGAGGAACGGATCGTCGTAGCGAGGTCTGACCATGTGCATTGTGTCGACCGCTCCGTCTTTCACGTTCAGTTGGAGCAGGTCGAATATTATTTTCGGTATGCAAGTGCGTTCCGTGTAAGTTTTCGAAGGAATTTTGACCACTCTGCCGTTGCCAAGCTTGGCCGCGACCTGTTTAGCCAATTTCATAAGATTGACGGAGTTGGTACCGACGGCGAACACCATCGGAGGGTACAGCCGTCTGTTAACCGTGTTCACGACCACTTTCGCCAGATCGTCGATGTGTAAGAGCGGAAGGAAGTTTTTCCCATGGCCAAAGATGGGAATTTCTTTTTCGTTGTCCCAAGCCATTTTGAAGATATATAGTAGAACGTCTTCCTCATAACCGATTGGAATACCGGAGAAAATTATAGTCGTTTTTAAACCGAAAAGAGTGTTCTGTCCTATTTTATACAAAAAATTTTCTAAGTTGTAATAATCTTGGTAATCCGGGTGTGGCCTCCTTTTCAGAAAGTTATCCTCGTTTATAGTCGCTCTCACTTCGGCTTCACTTTGAGCCCAACTAAGAAAATTCGTTATTAAAATTAAATGTCGCGGTGTCGTTACAGTTGTCATTTCTGTGATTTCTTTTTTGTCCATCAATTCGATATACTGTTTAATGTAGTACCAACAGTCGCTGAGCTCGTTTCTCGATCGGGAAATATCAAAAATAACAGTACCGCACGTCCTCATCACGAAAAATTTGCTCTCGTCATTACACTTTCCGAGAGTGTATTTCTTTTCGGGCTTCATCCCTACAGTGGAGATGATATGGAAGATTTCCGACGAGGGCGGTATTAGCTCGTCGATGATCTGCATTTCGTGTCTTACGTAATCTTTGATCACAGTCGGGAGAGTGAGTTCTTGCGCTGAGGGCGACGGGACCGCTCTTCTCACGATTGCGAACTGGTCGCTCGCCTCCCCAAGCGGAATTTTCATCTGTTTGTACTGCAATATCGATTGGTTGGAAACTCTCGCGAGTGAGCCAGGAGTCGGCCGTTTGTATTTCTTGAGGAAAAAATTTTCCCAAATTATATCCACACCGCTTTTAGGCACCAAGTCCTGGGGCGTCAACTTTCCGTCCATTATCATTTCAAATTTTTCGTACTCGCCGAATTCGTTGACGTCATTGAATTTGAGTTTTATCTTCTCCTTCTTCGGCTTTTGTACGTATGGTATCTTGCTGGAGCGGTCCAATTTTCCCAGGAAGCCCATATCGCGGGAGATGTCACCGGCCTTGTGATATTTGGGCACAGGCCCTTCCAAATAGTCAAGGAGGGTTTTATATTCGATGAAGGACAACGCTTTAACGCTTTTAGGGTCATAGTTGCTGTAATAATCGATTGGGAAATCGTAATTATTCAACGCGTTTAAGTTCGCATCCATATGTTTGATATCGAGATCTGTTAAATAATAAGAATCCATTTCGTACACACTTATCAGGTCGTCGAACAAGTCTACTTCCAGTTGATTGATCTTCATCTGTTCGAATTCTTCGTCCACCGACCCTCCGTGACCGTGGTCGGATTTGTTTTCCGATTCGTTTTCGCTTCCCTCTTCGCTTAAATCCTCTCCGTCTTCGTAAAATTCTCCTATGGACAGTCTATCCGGCTCTTTGACCAAAGGAAACGCGTTGACCACCTCGTCCTCGGGGGGTGGGTCCTCTTTCACCTCTTCCTCTTCCATTTCTTCCCCATCTCTCGCAGGATTCCTTCTATAAAATTTCGAGTAAAGTTTATCCAACAAGAAAATGTCCTTTTTAATCCTCCGCGCGTCGATCGTCTCCATTTCTTGAATACGGTTTAGAATGAGTCGGTCTTTTTCCGTGAGCGGCTCTTTGACCTTTTTCAACTGGTTCGTGAAGTATTCCATCGAATCGATAGAATCCGATTCGAAACTCAACTCTCCGTAGTCGTCTTCGCTTTTGTCTTCTTCGAAATCTTCGGCGTCGTCGTCGTTTTCATCGGGATCGATATCCTCGTCGTATTTGTCGCTTTCTTCTTCCGCCTCTTCTTCCGCCACGTCCTCCCCTTCACCCGTGATCTCTTTTCTTTTCTTCGGCTGCACATGCACCTGTGCCTTTCTCAGAGCTTCGATGATGTACTTCCCGTTATACCTATCGTACCTACTTTTGTATACCCTGTTATCTTTGAGTGTAACTACGGTTTTTATCTCTTCGAGGTGCTTCTGAGTAAGTTCTTCATTCGTAATAACGATAACGTGACCACAGTCCCGACTAAAAAACTTCCTCTTTGTCTCTTTGTCCCATGGGATTTGGTACTGCGAGATTGTTTCAAACGGTCCTTCTCTTATACCCAACTCATCTCCTTCTCCGAATTCACCTCCAAGTTCTTCTTCAGCCATTACCTGTCATTGACAAAAAATTAATAAACACTTTAAACCATGCTGTAAGATAACAAAAATAACTAGTTTAAAAACAGACAATTTCAACACGGTATTCTGAAAGTAGTGTTTTTTTAGTTATACCGTTGTGAATAAATTTTATTAAATATATGAAGGTTCTGAATTGATTTTTCATCCACCCTCTTCGTTCTGGGTCCGATTTAAATTTGAGGAAAAATTACACCCCCTTGTAAATTGAAAAAATAAAGTGCATTCATTCAACTCTTATGCTTTCGGAGTTTAAAGATTCTACGGTCCATCAATCCAGGGATCCGGAGGGTGAAAACCTTCTTATAAAAGGTTTGAGGAAAACGAATTAACCTTGAGAAAAGGTTGATTTATGGCCGTTCGGTGAGACACTTTTAAGGGAATGATTTTACATGGCGTAGATCGTAGCGTGGCTTTGTAAAAGTTAAAGCGTGATTTCAATAACTGTTACGTTGTACAAAAAACAGGTAGTCACGTACATAAAACGTTACACAATTTCTTGAGATATTACCTAAAATATTTAAATTTGACGTTTATTTATAATTGGCGAGGTTTTAGTGATTATAGGCCACTGTAGGGATAGACGGGAACGAAGAAGCAGAACCTCACGCTCTCATCCTGTATCCCATCAGATTTAAAGCTATTCGTTTCAAATGTAGTAAAAGAAGACTAAAGAAACCGGTGGGTTCGGAAAAATAGAAATATACCCGTCAAGTTGTGGCAGGTTAAGAAAGAGGTCGGTCCCTGATTCATGGAGAACGGGTCGAAAATAAAACAGACCTTATTGACAAGTCGTCGAATAGGTTATACGAGTATAATAAAAGGCACTTTCTCGCAAAAAAGCCTATCGTCATAGGTGCCTGTTATGAAAGGATAATATAACTGTCGACCACCTTTTTAATAGTAAAAGCTTGACATACATAGACAGTATTCAGACTTGTGCACAGTCTTGGGTCATGGATAGAGGTTTTTAATTGCATATACACTTTGTGTCGTGTTTATGCCATGTTTGTACGTATTGATGTTGTACTTGTGTTGTATTTATGTTAATTTATTGAAGGGAATCGAATTTATTAGCGTGGAAGGAAGGCGTCACCCAGAGGAATATCGGATATTTTATGGTGAGTGTGTGACGCCTAGAGAGTAAACGTTTTTAGCGAGAATGGAGTTCGTCCTCGCTCCCTGGAATATCGAGTACTGTGGGCGAGTGAATGTGTCCAAATTTTTTCTTTATATTGAGTGATGACGTATAAGTATGTATTGTGTATCTTTTGTGTCTATTCCGTACAAACCAAAGGCATTTTTAGAAATTGACATGGTTTACATATAAGGGCAGAGAGTCAGTAAACAGATCAAGACACTCAAATGACTGCAGCTTAAAACAAAATACGCGTGAAAGACCAAAAAAGAAGGAAAACACGCAGAGGACTGGGGATGACCTCAGCTGTTGATCGGACCAAAAACCTACCACAATGTTTATCTTTAAACTATCTTTAGCATTGTAGAAGCCATACGACTTTGTATTAATTATTTGTTTGATTAATCGAATTGTATTTATTTATTCTATAATATTATTGTAAAATATAAATAATAAAGTTGGTCTAATAAGACCAGTTTTAATAAATTAATTTAATTTAAAAAAATCGAAATCTAAATCATAAAACCAATCGTGTAAATATATCTGTGATGAGCGGTTTCCCTTCTTCGAGCGCGCGGCTCGCGGCTCGTTCGAATCGCTAGGGTGCTCCGAGAGAGTAGCGAGCTAGTCCACTCTAGGCCCGTCAAGCCTTTTAGGGGTAAGATTTGTCAGGTTGCCCGAGTTTGACGGGTGAGCACCCTTTTCTTAGTTACTACTAACTCTGGACGGGGAGGTTTGGGGAAAAGATACAAGAATTCGGACCGAACAATCAAGTCCCTTTATTGATATGACTGAACAATTCCCGATATGCACAATCAACTAGTGAACAACGCCCTAACCCTGGTTATAAATAGCAACTCTTATATCTTAATAAACAATTCATATACAAAACCTAATTCTAGATATAACCAATGCTCTTACTCTCTTTATCGAAACCTTAATACTAGGGTCTTAATTATTGGGAAATTAGTACTAAACTTAGGCCGTAGCCTGAAATAGCCCAATTGTTCTCCAAATCTCCCGCAAACCGATTGACAAAATTTGTACTTACAGGATCCTGACGGATAGGTGGTACGGATTATGCGAACTGTGTTGTCTCGGCGTCTCTCTCGTCTGCCCTCACGACGTTCCTCTCGGCGTCTCTTTCGACGTTCCTCTCGGCGTCCTCTCGACATCTCTCTCGACGCCTCTCTCGACTGCCCTCCCGACGTCTCTTTCGACGTTCTTCTCGGCGTCCTCTCGACATCTCTCTCGACTGCCCTCACGACGTCTCTTTCGACGTTCTTCTCGCCGTCCTCTCGACATCTCTTTCGACGCCTCTCTCGACTGCCCTCACGACGTCTCTTTCGACGTTCCTCTCGGCGTCCTCTCGAGATCTCTCACGACGTCCCTCTCGACGTCTCGTCGACGGCCCTCCCGGCATCTCTGTCGACGCCTATTCCTACGGCCTGCCGGGGCCGCCCCGACCGAGGCGGCCCGACCGTGGCAGCTCTCCGCTGACCGCCTCTCTTTCAATTCCTCATCGTCTCTACGGGACTCTCCGACTGACTCAACTGCGGACTCCCGGACTACGGACTGCGGACTCTAATCGGACTCTCTTCGGACTCAACCCGGATTCTCTCTGATTCTACTCGCTACTGCTCACTCACCGACTTTTTTACTCAGATAGAGTTTTTGTATCAATCCGTTCATTGAGGAGGGGGGAACAGTTACGCTTAGGAAATACTGCTATTATTCTGGGTGACCCGACTGCCTTTGTCCTCTCCAAGTCATTGAGCTATTCCGGATGAGTCCGGGCATTAGCTAATCCTGGGGGGGTTGAGCAATAAGGCCTCCCGTTAGCACAACAGCCAATTTTTCTAGGGCGATTGCCCCGGGATCGACCCTCATTTCTCAATCGAAAACATCCAGCTGTTATTATTTCACTAGCTTTGTTTAGCTGCGTCTGGAGGTTTCGAGAAAGACGTGGTCGGCTCCCGCGATTCCAGGCCACTTCCGGTTACTCAATCCGGCACAATACGATTTCCCAACTATTAGCCGAATTATTTTAAAATATAATTTTAATATTCCCATCATACTTAAGTTCTATAAAACTCTATTTAAGAATCCCTTTCGGGAATCTTGACAATATCGAATATCATTTTATAATGATTATTGCTATTTTTGTTTTTCTAAAACATCTTTTGTCAGTGAATTGATCAAGTTACATCAAAGATTTAAAAAAAGAAGATACTCGACTTGAAATATTAGAACCAAAAGGGCCTCTTTGGAACGGTCCGTTAAAAGTTCAAGCTAAAGGACAGTGTTAATTATACCATCAACGTTTGGGAATAAAACCATTCAAAAACAAACAAATTTCTACGGAATGAAAATAAATGGAGGTTAAATGTAGGTATCATAAGCTATCGTTATAATAGGACAATCTACGGACCATTGTAGTTAAGACTCCCAGATTTGCAAAAATAGGAAAAAATTTCTACGGGGAAAAGAAATAAGAGGGCTTATTGGTTTTTAACAGTATAATTAACCAGTATAATTATAATAGAAAATACGAAAAAAAAGGTTTTTTTTAATAATTCAAGAATTTGTTGCTAACTTCTGGAACCGATAAATATTTCCAACCTGCTTGTTTAATTTAGGTAGTAATTACGTTAATTGTAAAATAACTTGCAGCAGCGTTAATCAGATTACGGGATCCTTGAAGTATGAAAGGCTTTTTGCGTTCTTATAATTAGTAATTTCAGTTAAGAATCTCGTTTATTATTAAAAATTACCATGTCAACATAAGCGACAACGAGATTTTAGCAGAGACTGGAAGATTCAATGAATTCTTTCATGGCAAAGATTAGGGGAATTCACGATGTTTGTAAGATGTTAACTCGTGTTATCTCGAATGGAGAAATGTCCAGTAAGATCGTGAACGCCCCCTTCTTTTCTTAGCATGTTAAATGTTAATCTTTCCGCAATGCTGCGCGTGGCGACTGGTAGAACCAAAAACAAAGCTATAGCAGTCCTTGAAGGCTTGTTGTTGTTTGTTTTGGTTTTCTTTTGTTTCAAATTGTAAGATGCTAAAAGTTAGTAAACAAGGAAAATTAATCAACTCTTTCATTGAAAATGCTATCTATGCATCGAAAAGTAATAAAAAACGACATGCTTCAATTCGTGCCGGTGCCTAACTTGTATCCTAACGTCTAACAGCCTATAACTTTGTAGAATAGGGGATATATCTATTATTAATGAGAGTATAAGGACAGGTCAGAAATTAACAAATGTATTGGTGCGATTTAATAAATGCGTATTTAAGAATAAAAATACGTGTAAACAAAAAACAGCATTCAATTTTGGCTGCCATGTTGGTTACCTACCCCTAACGGATAGCAAGGTCACTACAATCTTTGACTTAACATCTAACATTGGCCCTGGCCAGCAATGTTAACTAGCCGATTCTTACAAGTCTACGTCATCATTTTTCTCGATCTAACACGACCTAACAGAGTTATCAGGGTTAAAACAAATATAATACCCCTATTATATATCCTTAAGGCCTAGTCGCTTAGACGCCCATCTTTCATTTGTAATACAACAGCAGGTCAGGTTTCAGTGGTTAAATTTATTCTACGGCTATACATCTTAAAACACGTCCTCCAGCGAGCAATATGGCGGCCCAGTTTGTTAGTAGGTGTGTAAGTGTCCTCATCTGCTACTTTGCAGAATCTGCAGGCGTCATGTTGTGTTATAACAAATTTCTTCAAGTGCCCATTCAGTCTGCAGAGTGCTGTTTCTGTTTCTGAAGGGTTGCCTTCTAATCCTACATGTCCCGGGACCGAGCAGAGGGTGACTTTTGTACATACTTAATCTATTTAGTTTGGTTTTGAAATCACCAGCATACCTTTGATCTAATGATGTTTGAACTGATTTCTTTGATGGCTGCTAAGCTGTATTCCTATTTTTGTACCCCCTGAACTGGGAATTCAATTGCATGAATTTCAGCCTGAAAGATACTGGTGGTTCTGATTAGCTAGTGTGCTTACTGAAATTGTTCCATTTAAAACAGGAAATCCTAAAAGAATCAAAGATTCCTATTAGAAACATCTCCGTCCTATTACATAACCAACACTTAGAACCATGGGCTATAAACAATTATTAAGTTTTCCTTGTTTTAGCCACGCACATAAAATCGGAAACCCCAACCAACTTTACCTGCTCTAGGTCAACATAGTAAGCCATATAAGTCCTGCTGAAACAATTTTCACCGACGGATCCAAAACAAATAAAGGCACTGGGGTACATCATGTGACTTCAACTATATATTTCTCTTGAGATAAATCACACATGGGCCTGGAACATGAGCGAGCTGATAAGCTTGCCAAGGAGGTGGTCCACTGCCCTAGGATCAGATACAACAATGTGCCTTTCACATTTCTTAAACGACACTTGAGACTCCTGTGCTATGAAAAGGGCGCTACATCGAAAATTTTCTTTCCTACGGTTGGAACACGATAGAGAATCATTTTCAAACTTACATACAAAATAAAAGAGATCCTCAGCCGTCATGGAAGAACGAAAGACTATCTCCACCGCTTCCACATAATAAGCAGCTCATCATGTCGATGCTTAAACCACCTCCAAACTATTGATCACTAAATCTGCACTGCCCCTGTCGGATCAAGTTAGGGCAACGCTAGTCAGGAGAGTGATAGGCAGTAGGTAGCCTCCTGGGCACTTCTCCTTCTCCAGTTCTCATTGAAAAACGTGAACAGCGAGGCGTTCGTTTCATTTGTGGCTTCCGTTGACTTTGGCTTTGATATGCTGCTTTGATATGATGATATTGTTATGACAATAGTGTACCAGAGCTATGTCATAATTTCTTCCGACGATTTACAAAAATAAATAAAATAATTATGCAAAACCTTTCGCCACAAATTAATATATTTAAGAGATTTTTTACCAACAAGAAACTCAAACTATCAAGGAAAAGTGACTTTCTTTAGGTGCCAGGAAATTTTAAATTAACGGACAACAAAACAACTTACAAAGCAGCAAAGAAGTAACTTCGAAAAACTTATCGATTTAAAAATTCTCTTAAATCACAAAAAGTCCGCTCAACAAACATGTGGCGACAAACATGGCAAGAACTACAAATAACAAACTAAGAGAAATAAAGCATGATACAATCAAATGTAATTCTCTCAACTATAAAAGCAGACGTGATAAACTCGTTATAACACGCTTACAAAATCAATGTCTTAAAAGATAAACAAGACCCGATTATGACACTAATTTTTCATCTCTGTTGGATACGGGAGGCATGAACAAATCGTTTCAATGCCCCCTCCCTAAAGAAACATTACACAATTCGCTGGAATTAAATTCTTCACCTTCCTACAGATTTAATACATAGAACTCCTTCAATATTTATATATCGTATTCTTAAAATAATAAATTACGTTGTGCTGTTTTCAGTTGTTATTATTTTAATGCCTTGAATAGTTCACAGTAAATTGTAAAGAAAAAATTTCCCTTGCTTCAGACCCCATAATTTGTGCTTGCTTATTGTATGGATTGTAAGCTCGGTAGGTCAGCCGAGGTTGTTAACATTTGCTGTTTCATCACAGAGCGCATTGCCCAAAAGTGGTACAAAATGTTTGCCTAGACCTTCTATCTTGAATGACAACGAATTGATAAGATCGAACTTCCTTCGAGTCAAATATCTCAGACAATTGCTTTTACCGCTGGTAACATGCTTCTGCACCTAAACATTCGCCTAGTAATGACCTCACAGCATAAACTAAAGACGTTTATACCGTATTGTCAGTGCGATGAAAAAATAAATTCTGTATAACAACACAGTGGGCCGTATCATTGTCTGTCATCATTTACCAATGACAGGTGATGCTCTGTGTTTGATGGAATACGGCAGGCATTGTGAGCTACGAACTCCTCCCTCGCAGCCAGACTGCAGAAATCTACTCAAGCCAACTGCAACTCATGCACTGGCACGGAAAGAGCCTACCCTCGTGAACAGAAAAGGTCCAATTATTCACAGGACAACGCGACACCTCATACAGCCAGACCGATTAAGAATGTGTTAATGAAGCTTGGTTGGCAAATCCACCTTCCGTACTTTCCAGACCTGGGCCCATCTGACTTTCACCTTTTCTCAGGAATGGATAATCATGTGCACAATGAGTTCGATGATCGCCAAAAGTTAGAAAATTAGATGAATTTATTGTTTAAGTACAGGGACCCAAACTTTTATAAGAATAACTGGGCTAGTAACTTATAGATATAGATTCTGGTGGAGGCTATTTCCCCAAATAAAATATTTCTAAACTTAATTTAAATGCTAGAATTATTAAACACTTTAAACCCGCTTGTACTTTAACTTTTCTGGTTAAGTGGTAGAATGTAACATCTTTACATACATATTGAATAAAATCTGAATAAGATTTTTTTTCTTCTGAAACGACATTCGGTCACCTATAGTGTCCGTCTTCAGTCGTGGGTTTGTTGAACTCTTGAAACGCTTTTCGACATTGCGCCATCTTCAGTGATGAACTGTCATCCTTCCTCATTGTTCATCACTGAAAATGGCAAATCGCCGAAACTCGTTTGAAAAGCACAATTGAGCATCAC